CAGAGTCTTCTCCCAGCTGCCAGCTATTTTCAGGTCAGAGAACTTCCTGAGATTGATGCTGCCTGTCTCTTTAGTTTCCCTCAGTGAATCTCTCCAGTATTTACTTGACCAGTCTCCCCTTGAACACGTCCAACGTTTTCACATCCTGAACAGCTTTGACAAGAAGTTCCACAGGTACACTAACACAAGTCCATTAAACCTAATGACTTTGCATTAGCACCTGTCTCTTCCTTTTCCCCAGACTGCAGAAACAAAAGTAATACCATGGAAGCAATAATCTTATATAACTCCACCTTTTTGCAGGAGAGGGAAGGAGGTCAAAAAATCCCACAAACTAAATGCTTTATTTCAAATACTTCTCTTTATTCTCTCCTTCCTCCATTCTCACTCCACACTGGCAGCCTGATAAATGGCTTGGAATCAAACGTTCAGCCAAAAGTGCAAAAGCTCCTTGTATCAGCCTTGTTTTCTTAAATTAGATGCTGAATATAATGTAGCTCTGTCTAAAACAGCCATGAGATTTACTGAGTTTTAACAAGGAACTTAGGGAGAAGGACTATGTAGTGTAGTTGATATCAAAACACCTTAGTTCTTTACACTGGCAGGCCTGAGAAATTAACTTTTAGGTATAAAAGCTCCTGAGTATTTGCCTTCATGGCAAAAAAAAAAAACAAAAACTTTCAAAACTAACCTGGACTTAAGGCTCTGCATAATTAATTTCCTTTGAATCTTAACTGAGGATCAGTGGATTGGCTTTGTGCTATTCTCTTGGAAGATGTATTTAAGGTTCCATCTTGTTGCACTCTTTCTGGATGTACCACAAGTTACATTCTCTATTACACTGATAGCATTCTCCCTACGTTGATAGCATTGTGTTGACAAAGTGGTTGCTACTTTCTACTGTTGCCATTATCATTACTGGCTCTTAAAATCCAGTTTAAAGGTACATGTTTGCTACAGTAATTACTGTGTACAGCTGTTTCCAAACACATAGGTTGCACTGCTCCCTTTACATGCAAGGTAACGCTTGCTCAGAACAGCGAGCCTCCAGAAACAGCTGGAATCGCCATGGAAGCCAAGCACGGCCCAAAGGCAGTTCACAGGCTGCTGCAGCTCACACCTATATCACAGGATGGCTGCCTGCTTGCAGGCTGCACTCAGGAAGTTCTCCAGTTGGGTATTTCTCAGTGGAAGTTCCCTGCTAATATTAGTCATAACCAGTGCTGAAACACGGAACTGTATTTCATAATCCTGTTGACACTCCTTCAGATAACAAAAAAACTGCCTTTACTCTTATGAAAAATAAAAGAACGAAAGAAAGAGAGAGAGAGAGAAAGAAAGAAAGAGAGAGAAAAGAAAATACTCTTGAAGACTTTATAAGGAGATTCAAACCTTTGATTCCTACATTTTGTAAATAGAACAGGTAAGTTATACTTATCAACTTCAACAACCTAACTCATAGAAAAAGTACAAGATGAGTTGCAAACTTTATAATTGTACTAACATTGCTTTTCAATTGCTAGTATTGCACTTGGTTTGCTTGTTTGAATAAATATTCTTCAGTTTCTGGAAGCCAGGTTTTGTCTGTTGCTACCCATAGGCAACCTTATTTGCACTGCACATCATTAGGTTTCCACAGGCTCACCAGCTAACTAATTTAGCTGTTGGTAAAACAAAAAGCAAAATCCACTCTCACTTTCCTACAATGAAACAAAATTCATTCTAAATTAATCCACAGCTCTTCCTTCCTGACCCAAGGTACTCCAATAGCACAACGGGCTCTGCATGTCACTAAATGGAGTCACACCAGAGGGGCACGCAGGCCCCGCAGGCAGCTCGCGCTGTGCCGCACAGCCTTACGGAGCCCGAACGCAGCAGCGCTGGGAAAGGTTTAAACATCTGACGTGAGCCCCCTAGCGCCTCCGCCAGTGCCTACAAGAAGGGCGTTCTAGAAACTTTGGAACCTTTCCGATAGTTGGCAAAAGTCAATTAGCTTAAAACTAATAATAAGCTTAAAACTGCACGAAGGAATCCGATTTAACCCGATGCTGAAATACAGCATTTTGGCAAGTCCACCTTCGGCAGTCCATTCCTCTCCATGCCTTATCACAGTTTAAGCACCAAATCAATACACTGCTCACCCCATGTTATCCCAGGGTAAAAACTACATAAAACACATGTTCCTTTCTGGTAACATCAGACACTAAACAACACAGATAATGTGAGATATCAGTATGGACTGCTTGACTTGGTCTGTGCAAACTCTTAAATTTTCACTCTGAAAAAAAATCAATTTGCTAATTACCAATTACAATAATATTAGTGATGTTTCTAAATATATTTAGTCAAAAGAAGACTCTGAGTCTGAAGACAGTGACATGAAACAGTACAGACACAGACCTCTTTCCTGCCACTCCCAGGCTCCAGATTAGTCACTTGCAACAGTCTTTAAGATTATCAGATTACTGAAATCTTCAGCTCTTATCAACTATACTGAAATAGCCTTACTCTTCCCACTTATATATATTTACACCTAAAAAAGCAACCCTGCCTTAATAATGACATAAAAATGGCAAAGGCCAATGTGAGGACTACAGAAATTCATTATTGAAATAGCTGTTGGGAGAGAAATACAGAGAATGAGGAAGAAGATGAGAAACAGAAAAAGAAAACAGGATGAGGAAGAAAAGGACATAAACAATTGGTTGTAAAGCAGAAGCTGATCTTCTTTTAAAAGGTCAAACTTAGACATCAAGTTAGCTACCAAATAGAGATTGTATGTTATTTTCTCAGACAGCCCTTTCTTCTATTTAACAATTTATTCAAAGTGTAGGAAATCTCTAAGGTCAGCACAGGCTACTGCTACTGTGAAGTTTGTAACATACATTTTCTTGTGGTGGTCAGGAATTGTAATAAATTAAAAAAAAAAAAAAAAAAGCTCAAGGGAAGACAGCTTCTCTTGTATTTTATTGTGATATTTCTAATACAGTATTACAGTATGAAGAGAATAATGCATTTCACTTGGAAAAGCAAAGCTCTGTTTGTAGATGGTTGTCAGCTTTGCTGACAGGTTTGAGACCTTCACAGCAAAATTACATCAAGTACATTTCTAGAATTTAATTAACAAACTTTGGTTTGCTACTGAACCACCAACACATACAATGGCCATGTCTCACAGATGGCATGTATGTTAGGTCTCTGCTCAAGTTCACATGCCCATAATCTTAGCTGATACTTCTCACCATCAGATAACCTACTCATATTTTTCTACATGTTGACCCTTTTAAAACATAGCGTCAGTTAAATTATATTTCCATACATTGATCTCACACGGAGAAAAAATATTTTTTTCAGTTACTAAAGGAGATACCCATTATAACTAAGTGCAGAACTACTTGGGAAGTCTGAATAAATTAAAAAACGTAGAGATTTAGAAGAAACAATAGTTTCATTTTTCTCCTCTTTTCTCTTCTTTTTTTTAATCAAAGACCTGGTTAAATGAAACCCAAAGTTGGACGCCTCAAGCAGCTTGTTAAGCTAAAGGCTTCTGAAGGACGAAATTAATCCACCTTTCTTGGAAACACGTTAACAAAGCAAACCCACTTGGAATCCCAGTGGTTCATCAGAACTAAACCCCAAATTCTTGAAAGTGGCTGAGCAGGAAATGCATGTATTAGCTCGTTAAACTACCTGCCTACAAGTCTATTTGTCTTAACAAAGGCCAAAACAGCTCAAAAGACTCATCAGGAAAAATAAATTATAATGGAAATAATCTTCCAAGACGTACAGCTGTACCAGTGGCTATGTTTGGGCTTCAGTGCTCACACACAAGGCCTCATCTAGAACATGAGAGCCAGTACAGCAGGTTCTGATCCATCAGCAGGCAAAGAGATGCCCCAGAATAAAAAGCACCACAGCCTGTATGTACGCAGCCCTGGGGCTCAGGCACAGCTGAGGCCAACACAAAATCCAGGCTGCTTCCCTACTGCTGGCTTCATGGCCAGAGCCCTGTGTTAAGCATATGTAAAGAACTCTACATTTTCTCCCATCAACTCTCATAACTCAAAGAAAAATGATTCCCACGTGTGACCTGAAGAAAAAAGGGCTTGTAACAGCAGCAAAAATAAAATTATTAAATGTATTTTCCCATATATTCCTAAGAATACACAATGTTGCCCACATGAATCAAACGCAGGAAAAAAATGCCACTTCGTTAAGTTTCAAAAGTAAAAAGCAAAAGTAGAGTGAAAACGGAAAGTTTAATTATGTTATGAACATAAGTACCTCTCTTTACAAATAACACATTCATAGAAAACCTGAAACAGAAATCGCTTGGAAGCCGCTAGCCACGAGCACAGAGCACAGTCCCGCTCGGAAGAGAGAAGCCTAGCAACACGGCGAGGCAGCCGAGGGGCGCCCAGAGCCGCCAGGCGGAGCGCAAGACCGGCGGGGAGGCGCCGAGGCCAGGCCTGCAGTTGCCCCCGACCGGCAGCCGCCCCGCACGCGGAGCCGTCACATGGCGGACGGGCGGGCGGGGAGAGGCACAACAGGAAGTGAGTTCTGGTTCCTGGGTTAAGGCGCTCCGGCGGGACCCAGCGCCCCGTGTCGGGAGCGGCCGCGGGCTCCTCGAGGCGCTCGTAAGTCTGAGCCGTTTCCAAAGCCGCGGGGGGAGCTGCGGGCGCTCGGTCTCGGGACCGGGGCGCGTGTTCGTGGCGCCCGGCCGCAGGCCTTCCCCCCCCAGCCCTGCCCTCGCCCCCTCCGCGCTTCCGCCGCCCGCCCCTGGGAACGCCGGTTCCTCCCGGCGGCGCTCCGCCTTGGTCAGAAGCGGGACGGAGCCGCGCCGAGCGGTTCTCGGCGCCCTCGGAAGGGCCCGGGCGGCCTCACCCGTCTCCGGCGCTGCCGGGAAGGCCGCGGAAGCAGTGGGGCGGCGAGCGGAGGGGCGGACGGAAGCGTGCGGCTGAGCCGGGTGGCGGCCGAGGGCGGCTGGGGCGGCCCAGCTCACCGCTAACCGGCGTCGCCCCCCGAGCCCGGGAGAGCCGCCGCCGCTCCGAGCTGTACACGCGGTGGCTGCCAAGGGATCGTCTCGACAGGTTTCCAGTTCCTAAGACGATGGCAGTGTAACTTTTATAAATATTTCCATTGAAAAAAACTGTTCTGAAAGCAGAAGTACATAGAGAAGTACTTGTGTCTGGATGGCATCTGTGTTGTTATGTGAACCTACGAGAGGTAGGCAAGTACGTTATGAATGAAAGCCTATGTGCACATAATTAGCTAAAACCTTATTTTTCAGAATGGAAGGTGTTTTCTGAGGCACAGTGGAAGCTCAGTGTGTGTGCAGCACTCTGTGCTGCTGCGGTTTCAGATGTGTGCAGCAGAATGTTGCTGATCTTTGTGTCAAGGTTTTTTGGCGTTGGAAAATTCATATTACAGCTGCTGTCTTTCTCCACCTGTATGAGCGAAATGTGTTTTGCTGGAAGCAAGGATTTTAAGAGCTTCTGCAGGTTTCCCTGAGTTTGTTTACACACAGGTTTGTCTTACGCCATTTTCACTACCCAGTTGTTTTCCAGTGTTCAAGACATTACTCAGAGATGGAATTCACGTTCTCATTGCCATGGAGCACAACACCCAGCTGCTTGCTTTTATAGGACTCCCTTATCAGACAGACTCTGGTGTTAATCTCCCTAAGTCTGTCATTGGTAGAATAAACAGAGCGTTCTGTATTGCTGCTTCTGCTCTGACTCCAAAAGGTTGGTGGCGAAAGAATCATAGAATGGCCTGGGTTGAAAAGGGCCGTAATGATCATCGAGTTTCAACCCCCTGCCATGTGCAGGGTCGCTAGCCACCAGACCAGGCTACCCAAAGCCACATCCAGCCCAGGGTCTTCAGGATCTAATGAATCTAGAATGTTGGTGATCAGGGTTGTCAGCTTTGAGTTGAATGTGTTCCAGTTGTTCAGTGGATGCAATATAACTAAGCTTGGTTAAAATAGAGAGGATATTTTGGTGACTTTTTTCTTCCTAACTGGTTGAAAGGAACAGAGAAAATTACAAGGAACAACTGGCAATTTTCCTGATAGATATTGATGCATATGAAGGAGAAGCAGAAAAAAGATCCAGTTTTTCAAAATTTCAGGATTTCTGGATATTACTGCTTCTCACATTATCTATTTATTCCAGACAACTCGGGATGTGACTACTGAGCAGTTTAATCCAGTGTAAATCTAGACTCCAGACTGCAGCAATCCTACCCACAGCTCATCTCATGTTCCCACTGCCTCCTTGTGTTGGTAGTGGTGCTCCAGCAGCCTCGTCCTGTTTGTTTGTTTAGAGGCAGCAGGGTGCTAGTTCACTGGCACGGCTCAACCATACAGCATAGAAATGCTGACACGGTACAAATAGATGGCAAAAATGCATGACCTGACGTGAGAGAAGGTGGAGTATCATGTTCTGTGTCTGTGCAGGCTTTTATCGCTATTACGTAACCAGGATTTTATGTTACAATTTTGAAGTCACTGCTATGAATGAAAAAAGGAATTCTGTCTGCCTTTTGCTGATGTTTCCTTCCTTATGTTGGCATCCGTCTACTGACACAGGTGTTTGTGTTATCATGCAATTTGAAGTGGTCCATGAAGCTGACCTGCATTAAAATAGCACAGCCAAAACACCTGTAAGTGTTTAGTTTTAAGCTGGATTGGATTGCTGATACATTTTACAGTAAAGCCACTTGTGCTTACAGAAAGAGAAGGGAGGAGTAGAAGCAGAAGCCAGTGTCCAGGGTATAGAGTATACAGGACCAATTCCTCTGTGGCAATTCCATTTTAAAATATCATTATGGACTGTTTCTATTCCTCTTTTCTTACATGGAGCCTGGCTTTTAGGTAGCTACCTGTAAGTTAAGATTCATGGGCCTTTTTCCATAGAGTTGGAGACTACAAACAACTGTTGTTTTTTTATTATTATTATCTACCAAACAGAAAATTGGGTGTAGTGCTACAATTCTGTCTCCTGCTACTGTAGGTTAGATAAGAGTAAGAATGTTTGTTAATATTGCCAGCCTCCATCAATTCAGTCAATCAGTCAGTAGAAGGCTGAAAGTTACGTATCAGTTTTAAGCATTGTTTATAAGCATTGTTTTTTTCCAAACTGAAATTTGAATTTCCGTGAATGAAAGAATGCCTTAATTTTCTATGAACTGTGGGTACTCTGGATTGAAGCCCATTCACTGTTGTAATACTTCTTGTATCAAAAGGCCCTGTTAAAGAATTCACTTTGCTATTAATAAAGTGCAGCCATCCTGAGATACAATTGGGATACAGTTGCTTTTGCAATATGCACACATCTTTGCAGTAAAGCTCACAGGACAAAAAGGTACAACATCTGTGCAGTAGACAGCTGAATCTTTTAGGAAAATCAAACCTCTTTTCTGCATTAAAGATATCCAAGAGCAAGAAAAAATGAACAAAACTTAAAGCTGTAGTCCTTTAGGATTTTGAGCAGGGTCTTAGATAGGTTATGCTCGTACCCTTCTTGCTTTATTTTCTTGGCAGCTCCACTATCTCTAAGAGTGTCTGTGGTTTTTGCATGAACCCGGAAGACAGTGATAGATGATAGTGGCTGTCCATTCTTTGTACTGTGAGGTAACCATGCTAATATTTAACTAGGAGAGGAGCTGTAGATTGCTCTTTTTTGCTTGTTTGTTTTCATAATATTGGCCCTTTTTTGCTTTTATTTGTGACTTCACTCATCTATCCTCTACTGTATCTATCTACAGTATCATAAATTTTAATCTGAAATCTTAAAATTTATGTCATCTGTGATTATGGAAGCAAAGCATCTGTGTTTCCAAAGTTCATTCTGCCTTGAAATTGAAGTCTGTAACCAGTCAGTATTGTTCTGTTATGCCTCAGTGACCAGCAGGTTTAGTTTCAGGAGCTGCTAATAAAATTGCTCTCTAAGTATAAAAAGTTGATAATAATGTGGAAAAAATTCCTGCTAATTTTTACTGGTTGGGAATACTGTTGGGTTTTGTTTTGTTTAGATAAAATTTGTTTTATTCAACTTTTGGTGTTGAGTGTGTTGCCATTTTCAAGTGTGGCAAAGAGTAAGATAGGCTGATGTGACCTAATGTTACTGAATTCTTATCTTTAAAATGTTTAATGCAAAAAGCTACATTCTGTTCTGGCTTGTTTAAATGGTTCCTGTTATTTTACAATTGAGTAAACATTAAGCTGTCTGAAATGTTGTAAAATCAGGTAACTGGTGATTTGCCTCAATTTTAAATTCTGTATGTCCAGAATTTGATTCATTGTTAACCTGTTTTTACTTAGCTTATGATTGAACATACCCCTATAGATAGATAGGGGTAGATACCCCTATACATAGAATTAAAATGTTGAGATGAGCAGAGCTGTAGTTCTGTCTGTTTTGTGAGTTAATGCTCAAGATTACTGCACATATTACTTGAAGCTGATAATAAAAAGAGTGATGTTATGTATATTTTTAGTTATATACTTCTTTTTCTTGGCTTTCTCTCCCTTCTGATTACTTTTCAGATCTCTTGACTTGACCATCCTTTCAGTGATGAAACAACATTGGGAGTTATGGACAAAAACATTGGAGAACAACTTAACAAAGCTTATGAAGCCTATCGACAAGCATGCATGGATAGAGACCATGCTGTGAAAGAACTACAGCAAAAAGTATGTGGTGGGTTTTCAGTTGTGTTTGTAAAGCAGATCTTTCAGTCAAGGATTGTGGTACATTTAGATTTCGGTTTCACTTCAGCTACTCACTTGAGTGCACTGGAGTTGAGAAGAGCAGTTATGAGACCAGGCCACTAAGCTGCAGAGCAGCTCATTAAGGTGTGAATGGAATGGGTGGGTTTCAACTTTTTTTCTCCCTGAAACATTAAAGGTGAGAATTTTCTGTTTTGAAGAAGGATTAATGTAAACTGCAGTGAAGTATATGCATGTTACCCATCTTTAATGAAGTACATTTTGAAATTTAATTTGCTTTACTCGAAAGTGATTTTTTTGAGTTGTTATTGTGAATAGGTTAAAGACTCCAGTGTATTAAGCACTGGCAAGCTATTAGGACAATGGAGCTTTCTTTCAACATTTAAAGCAAACTTACTTGAAAACTATTAGAATATGCATTGGTTTTATTAAAAAAAAAAAAAAAAAAGACAAAACTATACAATTGTTCTTTAATTATGAAGTTAAGGAAACAGATTCTAGAGGCATTCTAATTTGTAAGGAGCACCTCTGAATTTTTACCACTTTTGCTGTTTCAAATAAAGATGAAAAATTAATTACTTTAAGGAAAAGCAATCAAGGTAATACTTCTAGGCCATCTAAAATGTCAGTGAGAGAAATTTCTGCCCTAGAAACAAAACGCTGAATACAAGGTCAGGCAATAGCCTTTCTCAAGTCCATAGAAGAAGGGTAGGCAAGTGTGTGAGATCATCAGTGTTAAGAGAACCAAATGTTTGCAGTATTTCCCTTCATGTTTTCTCTGGTTCTGAAATAAAAACCAAAAACCTTTCATAAAGAATTACCAACTAGGCCAAATTTTTGCTTTAGTCAAACTTTCAGTAGTTGGATTCCATAACTTCAGAAGAGAATTGAAGTATCTTTTCAGGAAGAATTGGAGTATTTTTGTTTTGGATTCATTTTCAGTTTTTTTTTTTTTTAAGCCAAACTCATGGGTTTTGAATCATCTTCATACAGTGCCTTGTTCTAGTAAATTCCTCTGTTCATTGTGTGGCCTTCACACATTGTTGGATTGTCCACCATTCTGTTGTTAACAGTTTACTACTTAAGTTACCAATAGGCCACTTGTTTTGCCAGTCTCTAGAGCTGGGAGCCATGTCAAGCACACAGAAGCCAGAGTCATCTCGGCCAGATGGTGTTTGATACAGATGGATGGTTGGTTGTCATGCAGATCTTCTAGTTGGTAACTTGTTGCTGCCATCTGACTCAAGGAATAATTTGTGCACACTGGCTGTCAAAAGCATCTTCTCTTCTGTCTGTTTTAGCTGTCATGTCTGTGCTCTGTACAGAAGTGTTGACAAGACATTGCTGTTGTACATTTTCAATTTGGTTCTCAGTGATTTTTCTGCTTCATGAGGTCTCTTGTAGCTGCTGGAGAGTACTGCTCTTTGATCACTTTTTTTTTTTTTTTTTTTATATAAACTCTCATAGTACAACTACTACCCAACCTTTTAAAATAAATTTTGCTTCTAGGTTTATTCCTGCCTACTTTGCAGACAAGCACATTGAGCAGTAGAGGAGTGTGAAATTCAAATGTGACTGAGATTAGAGAATTAGAAATCAGTATGGATTCATTATAAATAGAAGTGAAAATGTACCTGCTTTTGTGCTGGGTGTTGACCTGTTCAGTAATAGGCATATTCTTAATTTAGTGCAACCTTGTAAGCTTTCTTGCTGGGATTTCACAAGTTTTCTCACTTCTTTTTAGTGCTACTGTAACTGCAACATTAGGGCTGTGCTAACTGAATAATAGTTTTTGAGTAGTAGCATCTTCCTGCCACCATTTGTTCAATTAACTGGCCGTCTAACAACATTTATACATTTCATTGAAATGTGAGTGGCTTTATTAGGTTCTGTATGTCTGGTTATTAGGATCTTTATGGCCTGGTGATAGCACAACTCTGATTAGATAATGAATAGAGCTGATTGGCCACTTCTTTGCTTGCTTTCCCTCCCATTGTTCGGATTAGAAAAATACGTGTACATCGCATGAGCTGTGTAGGTAGGCAGTTTGTTACTTACAAAGGATCCATTGTATGGGATAAGTAATGTTGTTTGCTTGTTAGAAAAGACAGAGAAAGAAAGTTATATCTTTCTATGGATAAGCTAACTGACCGGCATTTTGAAGAAATAAATAAAATATTTCTAACTTTAAGCCTGCTATGTTCTGTGGCTGTGAATGAACACTCCTAGACTGAAGCCATCTTGTCCTTTATAAGTGCTGTAGTTGAAACAGTTACTGAAAATTAGTTCTTATTTACTACTGTATCTTTTCTAGTCAGCAAAGTTTCAGAAGTACAGACTTGCTGAAGGTGGCTGTAGTTGGTTTCTCATGCAGAGGTCCACAACTACAGTCATCTTTAAAAGTCAGAGCTGTTTTTTATATGCTAAATAGGAGACCCCTAGTCAAAACAAAACAAGATTAATGCTAATTAAATTGTATTTGCAGACAGAGAACTACATGCAGCAAATATGTGAACAGCAGGAACAGATAGAGCTTCAAAACAGCATTATTGCAAAACTGAATTCACAGTTAGCTGCTCTGAATGCTAATAGAGGTATGTACTCCAGTCTGCACATTATTTCTTCTTATGCTGTGCTGCATTGATGAATAGTTTTGACTTTGTGGCTTCAGCTTTCACAATATACATCTTTCAAAGCACTATCATGCTTTTCTGTGAACGTGAGAGTTAACGCAAATGTGCCGTTTCAAAATCTATTTATAAAATGCAGCACTTCTGTATCCTTTTCAAGAAATTGTGAGATTTTCTTTTTATGTAGAACCTGCTCACACTGAACTAAAAAAAAAAGAAGTTATGAAAATATGGGTTCAAATCATTCACTAGATTAAAACAGTTGCGTATTAACTGTACAGCTGTCTGCTAATAAGTTTAGCCCATGGGTTGTTCTAGATGTGAATGCTGTAGTTAGATGTCTTTTACATCAGGAGGTCTCGTAACGCTGATTTTATTGGATAACTAAAGGGTTTATAAGCACATAATTCTCTTTCAAATCAAATAGTCACTGATTGATAATTTTCTACTGTTTTACTGTATTACAAAAATAATAGAAAAGAGTCACTGTAACCATGTGTTTGTCTGCCATGCTCATTTAATATTTATTCACACTAGCCTAACACTTCTGGTTTTCATAAATTCTAGCAAAGCGGTTGGCTTTTATTTTTAAGAATACCTGTACACTTCTTATGGCTAGATTAGTCTCACATTGTCTGTAAAAGCGCACAATTGGGTTTATTTTGCTTGTTTAATATGAAGATTTTTAGAAAGAAAATAAGTTAATATAAGCCTAGCAAATCTTAATTTTTGCTTGTACTTAGAAACTGTCTGTGGGAAGATACAGTGACAATCAGCTGCTTTTTGTTTTAAGGTAATGTGCATCCCTACATTCTGAGGCATGAAGACACTGAAACCTCCAACTTATCTTTTAGCCAGCTCTCTGAAAAACTGAATGTAGCAAAGCGAAGAGAAAGGCTCTTAAAGGTATGGTCATCTGCTGCATGCTGAGTGTAAGACTATGTTTGTTCTGTGATTATACTGTGAGAACCTAAGGACAGGTGTCTTAGAACTGTTCTTCCAATACAAGATCCTTAAGTGTGTGAACATTGTGCCCTGTAGCCTAGTTAGTTGAACTGAGCATCTGTCTTTGAAACTTCCCAGTGTAGTTGTCATTTGCTCCAGCTCCCTAGAATAATAATTTTGATTAGAAAGTAGGAACTTGCTTACTTTTTCTGTATCTTTCCAAACCAGTGGTCAAGAAGGTGTTTTCTCATTCTCTCAGAAGAGTTTTCAGATTGCAGCCAGTCTGTGTGTTTTTTTCACAAGAAGTGGAGAATCTGCACTCAAGAAGTGATGGAGTGGTAAATAAACTCCCCATTGCTCTGGAGACACTGATGATTTGTCTAATTTTAAGCAGACAATTTTAATACAGCGTCTCTTCTTCTCTATTCACTGAAATAACATGGAAGTTTTCAGTACAGCCTGTTTAAAGTAACAGGAATAAGAATAAATCAGTTCTGTAGAATAGGCAGTAAATACTGTGGGTGGATTTTGTATGTTCAGTAAAGACAGGGACAGAGATGCACAAAGTCACATGTTCTTATTCTAAGTCATTCTGTTGTGTTTTTGAGAGCTGCTATGTAATGCAGAAATCTCTTGGTTTAGAGTATGAAGCTTCCTAACAGAGACCCTGTAAGACAACCTTAAAAAGACCTATGACTATCATGTCCTGGATTTAAAAACAGTTAATTTCAGAATTTGTTTCCTAAGCCATAGCTATGAACAAACATGCTATGCTAAATTCACAGAAATGCAGTTTTCAAATCAGAAATTAATTAATTTATGCTAATTAATAATTGCAGTAGATTACTGATGTTTATTTAATTATCTTGAAGGAACCTTCTTTAAAACTAAGCCTTTGCTAACATTTTAAATTTGTTATTGTCAAAGATTTCTATGCATTACTTTTTAAATAAAAAGGAGTCTTTATAGATTTTACATAGAAAAATATATAATCACAAACTTTTCTAAACTTTACATTTCCTGAACTTTCTTTCCTAAACTCCACGTTTATTTGTAGTGCAGTGCAGTTGAAGGGTTAATTCTTTGATGGAACACCTTTGCATATTTTTGCATTTCTCTGTCTTGAATTGGATATATTCAGCTTTACAGTTGCATATGAAGATGTGATCAAGCCTAATATTCCGTGCTCTTGTTTCTGAGCACTCCAAGGCAGTAGCTTCACTTAGCAGCTTAGTTGTATACAAGTTGTCCTTTATTCTACTTTTCCAGTGAAATTTTTAGGCTTGCAAAATGTTCAAGTCAGAATAGTAAATTAGGTTTACCCAAACCCATTGAAACTGTCTTCTGCTAAGTCCAATATAGTTTCTCTGCAAAACTGTGATCTGTCTTCCAGCACAGTTAATAGAAGTGCTGGATTGATTGTGATAGGTGTATGGCCAGGCCTTACATTTCGGAAGTTCAAAATGATGTAGGGATTTGCTTTTCTGTCTTCCAGCTTCAAAAACTTGGCCAGACTTGTCCATTTTATCTGCTGTTGTCAAATGTTGTTGCCAGGGTGTCATAAAATGTTTTCCTTGTTCTCATTCATCTTCACTGAGTCAGGCTTGGTCATTACCAGACTACATACAAAATTACCACATTTTCTTCAGATCCCTGCTTGAGGAGGCCAAAGGGACCTGAACTGCTGGTTTTTCTGAGGCTGTTTTTAGGTACTGCCTGGTTCAACATTATTAAGAAGGAAGAATGTGTCTCTAGTAACTGCATCAAAGTTATCCAGGAGACATGTCAATTGACCAGTGTCAAGTAAAGCTTCTTTTGTGTGCTATTTTTAGTAGTCAGTCATCAATGTCCATAAACCAGGAAGCTAAAGTCAGTACCTGTGGCAAGAAGACACACTCATGTTCATATTTTCCTTGGTCAGAAGCGTTAGTGTTGAATGCTACATGGAGCATGATGATCAGAATTTCCTGTGCCACAAAAAGATGGAAGCAATTGTGTATCAGGAATGACTGATGCACATAATATACATAATTTTTTATTCTGCAGTAAATGTTTGTCTTGCGGGCTGTTAGCATAGTAAAAAGAATGACAATGTATGGCAGTCGTCTTTGTGCTCAGAATTGTGGGAATAAAATGACTTAGACATCTAAGAGCAGCTACTACATCCATCTTGTAGAATCAGTGTCAGCTTCTCTGGTGTCACTGTTTTCTGTCTTTGTTGCATAGAAAGCTGTGCTTTAAGATTTTCATGGTAGCTAACAAGTCTATGCATTTAGCTTAGTAATAGGATGCATTTTGTAACGTTAATTAGACCTTCCTTTGTGATTTAAGAAATTATGGTATAGCCTATTTCTTTATCTGTTTAGTGTACCTCTGCCCCAAAATAATGGATGTGGCTAAGCTGTTGAAAGTCATTACTGGAAATATTCCCTGAAATCACTTAGAGTAGTTTGTAAGCTGAGTAACATTTTCCATTAAAATCGTGTAAAAGTTTATTTATCCTAGGAACTCGGGGGGGGGGGGGGGATGAGAAGGGGAAGACCATTATAGCGCACTTCAGGGGAAAAGTAAAGGGACCAGTCTTTGCAGCAGTACAATTTGAGGGCTGTGCTGTAGAGCAACTCTGCTGGAAAGGATCTGGGATCTTGTTAGACAGTAAGATGAGCATGAGCCAGCAATGAGCCCCAGCAGCAAAAAAAGGCAGCAGCTTCCTGAGAGCACAGCTAGCAAACCTCAGGGAAGTGAGTAGCCCCTTTATTCAGCATTCAGTAGACTGCATCTGGAATACCATATCCAGTGTGGATGCCTCCCATACAGGAGGGACGATGAAACAATGGAGTTCAGCAAGGAGCCCACAGGAGTAGTCAGGGGATTGAGAAACCCCATGAGAAGAAAATGCAGAACGTAGGCTTATTCAGCATGGAGAAGAAGTGGCTTTAGAGAAAGCTAGTAGCTCTCCATAGAGGTTATCTTCACAATTGTGCATGGCAAGAGGGCTAGAGACAATAGGCATTTGAAATGTGAAAGGTTCAAACTGAATAAAAGGGAAAATTTTTAACCATGAGGACAGACAGGAAAGGTTGTCAAGAAAGATTTTTCCATCTCCGTCCTTGGAGGAATTCAAGACCTGGTCAAACATTATGACTGCTGCTTTGATTAGTAGGTTGATTTGGAGAACCTTTTGAGGTCCCTTCCAACTTGAATGTTTTGTGAGATAAACCTCCCCAAAACAAGTGTCATTGTTTGAAGAGTTAACCTTTTCATAATACAGAAATAACCTCTTTGCTGTGTGCTAATACAAGCATTCTTAAAAGATACGTTGTGCAGCCAAGTACTTAACTGAGCAGGTGCCACCTATGTGGCATGCCTGTCAAGACATTAACCTAAAACTTAATGCACTTTATAATGTTACCACATTGTTTGCAAAATCCAAACTCTGACAGTATTAGAAACTGTAAGATGATCAAGCTGTGAAGGCTTGTATTACTACGAGATCCCCAAAAGCAATTTCCAGTCTTTTTCCTAGGATGATATCCCAAAGTTGCACAAAAATGGTACTTAAATCTGATATATCTTCATTGAAACTTGTTGGAAAAGCTCTTCCAACATTGATTCCCGCATAACTTTTTTTCATCTCTTAAATCTTGTCCCTGCTGCCTGCAGGAGAAGGTGGAAGAAAGCTACTGGCTGTCCAGAAGTTTTTAAAAGTGCATATTTTTTGAAGCTTAGTTTCAAATGGATAAATGCTGTGTGCTGATCAATGCTATATCACAGGCTCAGTGAAAGAATTAATTTGCTGTCAGTTGTTTAAGGGCAACTGTTGTGTTTGACATAAGCTTTTTCCAAGGCGTTTGGGTTTCCAAGCAGCTTATTTTCAAAGAAAAATACCAGAGTAGCTGTGTGCTGTTGATTTTTGTTGTTGTTGTTGTTTGTTTGTTTGTTTGTTTTAATGGAAATTGAATTTGAGCAGGGAATATTTGGGAACTCAGTGGCTCTGTGTGGCTTGGTGTTTGTGAACTTGCACCATGGAATGTTACTGCCCTTCTATTACTGGAACAGCAAAAATCAGTTCCTCGTACCATTCCTCATGTTTGTTTTGTTTTGTCTTAGATGATCAGAGCACTCCCTGGTACCTTCTGGTAACTATTTCTGATTTAGTCTGTATTATTCAGGTAGAAGAACAACAGTGTAGCCCTGTTCATATTTAACTGTGGCTTGATGTATTCAGTAAATAGGTCATGAGTTGAGCTGCTATATGCTTTCACGTTTCTTTCATACACAGAACAATACTGAAGTCTTCTTTGTAGCTGCTATGATTTTATTTTTATTCTCATGCTGCATAATGCTTTTCAGACTTTTGTAGTCTTTAAATAACGTGGAAAAGTATATAATTGTAAAACAATGTCCAGCTTTTGTCTCTGCTTTAATTTTCTTCGAAGTATTTTCAGATCTCTTGAAAATACTTTTATGTGTGCCTCCATCTCTGCTTAATAGGAGCTATTTTTTCCCAAATTGATGAATTGATTGATTTCTCATTCATCAGATATTTCCTTTACATGTTCTTTACTTTTTATGCCTTTAATGTTCTCATGCCTCTTGAAAAAATTAAATGTAGCTGCTGCAGCATCAATTATAGAAATTTATGTTATTTAGGATTCATTGGCCTAAAATCTTCAGACACCTTGTTCTTTTCAGAACAGAAATCGTTCTCATTTTTTCCTCCTTTGCTGCTATTTGATTCACACGCTTCCCTGGGTTCTTACCTACAATGATACAGAGTACAGATTCTACATTAGAAGACTACTGAAAGTGTTTGATCTGTCCTGTAAAGTGCAAAGTGCAGAGGGAAGGGTCCCTAAGCCTTAGAAATTAGGAAGTTTGTAATACCTAAAGAGCAGAAATACCTTGTCACTTCAAAGGTGTTTGAATGAATGGATTTGTAATATCTGCAAATGGTTGTGAGAGAGGATTTTTTCTAGGATAAGAACAACCTATTTTTAGACAGTGTTTTGAACCCCTTAAGAAGAAGTTTAATCTGAATCTCTGGGATTCCAGCAAGTTCCAGAATTGCATTGAAACTCTGACCTTAAGTTTACTGTATAAAGTCACAACTGATACTAAAGAAAAAACCGCCTTCAATGCTATTTTTTCCGACTTAATTTAGGTAGGTAGAATAGCTACTTGGCTTGTAACTATTGTTTCAGCTGTATGTGTATGCACCCATTCTTAACCACGCAGTGTGTGTGCATAGACTAGCTATGGATCCATCATGGCTGCTATTGTCTCATTTTGGTTATCTCGCTGATAATATCTCAATATCTTATAGTTTAGGTTAACCTTTACCTATCTAATCTCCAAACAGACAACATCAATCTATTTACATCCCATTTGTAAAAAAAAAACATTCTTCTCAGAAGAACAGTGTTCTTTTTATTTTCTTCTTTCCTCTTCACATTCCATGATCTTTTAACAGACTATTGATGACCTATTATAATATCATCGATGAAGATGTTGAAAAAGACCAGACCCAGTACCAACTGCTGGGAAACACCATTAGCTACAGGCCTCCAAGTATACTCTGTGCCACTGATCTCAGCCCTCTGAGCCCTGCTGGCCAGCCAGTTCTTAATCCACATCTCTGTCAAATCATCTATCCCACACTTCCAAGGCTTACCTGCAAGGATGTAATGGGAGACCATGTCAAAAGTCTTGCTGAAGTCCAACTACGCAAACATCCACTGCTTTCCTCCCATCTACTCAGCCAGTCACGACATCATAGAAGGCTACCAGATTGGTAAAGCATGATTTCCCCCTGATGAATTCATATTGACTGTTCTTGATAACCAATTTTTCTTCCACTTGCTTGGAGATGACATCCAGAATAAACTATTCCATCACCTTCCCACGGATGGAGGTGAGGTTGACTGGCTTGTAGTTTCCCTGTTCATTCTTCTTGCTCTTTTTGAGGACAAGAGTGACATCAGCTTTCCTTTAGTTCGCAGGCATATCTCCATTTCACCATGACTTCTCCAAGATGATAGAGAGCGGCTTGGCAACCACTTCTGCCAGCTCCATCGGTGCTTGTGGGTGCATCCCATTGGAGCTCATGGATTTGTGTGCATCAAGTTTCCATAGGCATTCTTTGGCCAGATTCTCCTCAACAGAAAGGAATTCCTCCTTTCCCCAGACTCTTCCATAGCATATCCCATGTTGGAAGGGGTCCATAAGGATCCTGAGTCCAACTCCTGGCTCCACACAGGACCACACAAAAATCTGATCTATCTGAGAGTGTTGTTCAGATGCTTTTTGAACTCCAGAAAGCTCAGTGCCATGACCACTTCTCTGGGAAGCATATTCCAGGGCCCAACTGCCTTCTCAGTGAAGAACCTCCTTCTGATATCCAAATTCTCTCTTATCTGCAGGGTCTGGGATTCCTCGGGGGCGCTCTCAGCAGTAAAATGACTAAAAACATTAATATGACTGTCATAAATTCAGAAAATTCAATTGTTTTGACTAATCATATATGCTCAGATATATCTGTGTTTAGCAGTAGAAGGTCCTTACTATCAGTTCAAAATTAGTACTGTAGTAAATAAGTGTCCCTGACTTAAGTTGGAGAAGCTCAACTTAGGTTTTTTTGGACCGCTGAATAGTGAAATTCCACACACCTCAGTTCTAGTGAATACACTGGAATTTCTTAAATTGTTTTTTTAGGAACAGTTAGAAAATGAGAGCATGAAGTTGAAGCAACTGGAGGACAGAAACAGTCAAAAGGAAAGGAAGCTTATGTCCATTATTTCCAACCAAGAAGATAAAATACGAACTCTGAAAAACAAATTGAAAGAATTAAATGACGTCCAAAAGGGTACACAGATGCCAACATACAAAATAGAGGTAAGATAAGAAACCAAGTGGAGATAAAATGAAAAACCAATCTTCTGTAAAATACCACTCTTTTCAAACATGTTTATGCTAATTATTCTAAGAAAGTGATTTTAAATTTCAACATTAGATCATTACTAGGAAATTGTTAAAGCGCACAAAGCACGTAGAAACTCTGAACTATTCAATACATTGGTTGATTTTATGTTAGTTATTTTTACATTCTGTCATCATTATACTAGCATTTGCAAAAACTGGAGATCAGCATTTCAGTTTTATAATCTTCAGTTGGGAGTTTTCATCAAGATTGAGTTGATTTTTTTTTGCTTTTACCCCACTCTATTTTTGTTACAGAATAGCATCTAGGGTGAAATACAGTTAGGGGATAGCTATACTGCAGTCGCTGGTGTAAATGTAATCTTGTAAGTGCCTTTTAGCCAGCTAATTTAAATTGAATATAGGTAAGAGAATGAGCACAGCAACACAGAACTTGTTGCTATCAGACTTTCCAAGCGTTTTTGTCTTACAGCAGACATTTGTAACCAATGCTGTTAGGAATAAAGCAGCTCAAATATGCCAGTAGGAGCCACAGATGCGCTTTACCACCAGGTAGGCTACTAGTCAGTGGTTATAAGCAATGTATCACTGAAACCAGCTAATTTGACAGACATATGATCATATTATGAGTCTGGTGTGGAGCACATATGAACATATCCAGGTCATCTGGTAATGTAGATTTAGTGGAACTGAGCTTAATGGCCGTTTATTGTAGAATCTTTTAATACCTGGCATTGACTTAAAGCAATGTAATACTAGAACGAACCACAAGGTGGTAGTCAAAGCTAAGAACATCTGAAAACCCGAGCGAACTCTTGTCGTATTCGCTTTTGATGTCTTCATTGATTGTTTTTGTGAATAAATTGATTACTTTTTTTTCTAAGAGCTGGAATTTCTGGGTGCCTCATTAACGAGCTTATACATAATACATAATCTGAATCTTATATATGATTGAAACAGACTTACAGCGAAGGAAGATTCTTAGAATTTCATAGAAAGTTTCCTTTTAGGAAGTATGAGCAGAGGAATGCCACGCTGAGTTGCTAAAAGCTGAACTAAAAATAGGGATTTCACGAAATAGTAAAAAAATTCTTTTGTTGTTTTGTGAATGTTTTGAGTGCTTCCGGAAGGACTGGATGAAGGGTACTGCGGCGTTTTTAATCATATCAGGCCAAAGAGCAAAATGAATATGCTAACCTGTGATCCATAATTTCATGTTTTACTTCAAGGTGAAAAGTAAGAAAGTTGTTCCAGATAAGCCTGAATTATCTATAGGGATTTCTGGTATTTCACCTTTGCCTGAAAGGTAAATACTTCTGCATTATTTCTGCAACTTACTTACAATTGTCTTTTCTGCTACTAATTATGACCTCTCATTTTCCATCCTTTCTGCACAGTACCTTAAAAAGTACTGGGGAGCAGCAGGGCTGAAGTTGGAAGGAAAAAAAGCCATGTAGAATCACAAAAGAGTTTTACAAGTATGTACAGATAAGCTGAGAATAAGAATAGCTGCTGAGTTCAGCAGGAGGTTAAACTCTACAGGATATTACAGTGGACTTTAATGCTGGGTTTTGGATTAGCATTAACTCCCTTGCATTAGCTTTCTTCAAAACAGGAACATACAACTGTAATGGATTAACTGATGGCAGCACAGCAGAGTAGCCTGCTGCACTGACAGGAGGAGGTCTGATAGTGTGAAGAAATAATTCTTGTCCTAAATGAGAGGGGTTGAAACCAGTTTATCTGTAAACTGAAAGCATCCAGCCCTGACAATGACCAAGGGACCAAAAGCAGTATATTTCCTAAGCAAACATTGCTCCTTCAGCCAGTGTTTTGAGAAAGATATTGACCATGCTCTTAGGTTTGCACTTTTCACCAGGTAGACAATAACACCGCTTCTTACAACCTTTGCAAATGTCAAGTCAAATATTCTTGAAGAGGATTGGAGAGAATTAGGAAAAAAAGTATTGTGAACTCTTGCTGTCTTATTACTCTTATTTAAGCATCTGATTTTGGCCATGCTCTGACATAGACTAGGTAAACCAGATGGATCTTTAGACTAAATCATTACTGCTGTACAATAAGAAAAGGGAAATAAGTCTGTGGTAAAGACTTAATGTCCTTATTTATGTATATTTAAAGAATAAAAACTTCTGCCTGTCCCCTCTCTCACCCTCAAATAACTCCCTTATTCTGCACTGGTGAGACCTCACTTGGAGCATGTGTCCAGATGTGGAGTCCTCAGTACAGGGGAGATGCAGAGCTGTTAAAGTGCATCCAGAGGGCCACAAAAATGATCCAAGGGATGGAACATCTCCCCGATGAGGACAGGCTGAGAGAGCTGGGGCTGTTCAGCCTGGAGAAGAGAAAGATCCAGGGAGACATGAGAGCGTCCTTTCTAAGGAGGGGGCTGTAAGAAGGAGGGTGACAGACTATTGTTGTGATAGAACAGGAGGAAATGATTTTAAACTAAAACGGGAGATTTTGATTGGATATAAGGAAGAAGTCTTTTATGATAAGAGTGGTGAGGCACTGGCACAGGTTGCTCAGAGGGTGGTGGATGCCCATCCTCTGAGAGGTCAGGCAGGACCAGGCTCTGAGCACCTGATGGAGCTGTAGGTGTCTGTGCTCACTGCAGGAGAGTTGGATGAGATGACTTTTAAACATCTTTTCCAACTCAAAAGATCCTGTGATTCTAGTATAACTTTTTTTTCTGTAGAAAAATTATGCTATCACATGTCTAGCAAATGAAGATTGGTTCATCTAATCATACGTATATTTTAATGCTCCAATTAAAAATGTATTAAGAGAATTTTCCCATTTCTTATTTATTGAAACACTTGAAAAATGGTCAGAACTTTAGCTTCTTCTCTAGGAGTTTCTTTTTTGAAATGAGGTCCAGGTAGACATTTGTATTCAAAAAGAGAAGCGCAGGGGGAGTAAGAGCACAACTCATGACAGTCCTGATTGCTGTATGAATAGCAATAGAAAGGAAAACAATGTATCGAGATAAAGAAAAACGACCCCTCTGAGCTTTTTTTGAGACAAAGATACACACAAACTTCACTTTTTCATCATTAAAGTCAATTTTATAATATCTGTGCTATTATGCTTAGAAATATAAAGTATTCAGCAAATGTATCAAAATTTCTCAATGGAAATTTATGCATAATGTGATGTCTGGTGCCTTAGGGTAAAAAAAAATCTCAAATCAGCATGAAGAGCAATGTCTATCAGTCTTAGTGTAGATAACTAAATTTTGGATAATCATATAATCTGGAGAAGATGTAATAAAAAATACTCCTCAGAAAAAAAAAAAAAAAAAAAAAAAAAAAAAAAGGAGTTGAGTCATGTTTTATAAAGCAGAGGAATAAGTTTACTAGCACGGCTCCAAGATGTGAGGTAGACAGAGAAGGAAGGAGCAGTAACAAATGCTTGTGTGTTCCTTGTCCTGTAAAGTCTGAAGACCACAAAAAAAAAAAAATTAGTGTTCATAGCAGCAGCAGTGCCCTGTTTTGCTTAGAATGGAATATAAGCAGTGTCTTGCACAAGCTGTCCCACTGATACCTGAGGAAGCTGGAAAAGAAGTGTAAAGGCTGGATTGTCTCAGGGTCCTTGCAGAGTCAGGTCCTAAACTTGAATGTGTGTATATATTATGACTAAACAGCTCCTTGACTATATTGTTTTTCCTTTTTCCGCTTACTTTTTTTCTGAGAACAGAAATGTATATACATATGTTGAAGAACAAGGTATCCAAGAAAAGTAGCATACACTATTGTTTTTCTCTTTGTGGGTGTGACTACAATAAAGGTCACAACAAGCTGAATTGATTGAGGGTCTAATTTACAATTTCAATCTTCTAGGGAGAATCTGGAGACTATTTTTCAGGAGATGAAAGAAGAGTGTCATCGAATATGTATGCTAGCCAGAGAACAAACAGACCAACTGAGTAAATTTAAAATAAAGCCAGAACCTGAAACTGGTAATATCATACTTAAGCTCTTATTGTGATTCAACTGTTTGAAAGCTTTGCTTTATATTTGAAAATACTGTAAATTACACATACATAGAAGTACTTCCACTGTTTACCATCTGCCTTTTTCAAGTCTGTTCACATGGTGCTCAGTATTTCACCAAGAAAACGCACCGCCAGTTTTGGCATTCTATGACGAATGCTCCAAATCACATGCTATGAAGACAGTCGTCACATCAGTAACTCTTAGAATTGTTTTGTCCCTTGGAGTGAGAGGCAGGCACTTACTGCATGTGATATCCCATCGTACCGTGTGAAATACAGAACTTGCTTGCTTTTAATTTAGCTGTCAGTTCAAAAGATGTCTGTTTCAAATGTCTGTAGCCTCATATTTGTTAGAGGAAAACTTCTGAACCGAGTACTGATTTTCTAGACTTCCTCATTCAGACTTTTACATGGTGTTTAGTTATATCAGACAAGAGCTTAACTCAACTCTTCCCTGAAAACAAAAGACAGACTTGAATTATACAGCTGATGGAAGAGATCCTGGACATCCAGTTTGCTAATGCTTATATTTAACATAATGAAGGCTATTGTGGGTATTCTTTCTAGCTTTGCTTGATAGTAAGGTCAGATTCTTCAGTGATTTCAAAAACCACTTGCCAAATTTACATCATTGAAGCAAACACGTTAATTCCAGTATTTGCTTCTAATTTAAGTTTGTCTTTGAAGCCTGTAGCTTCAGAGGACCAAGTTGAAACTGTAGTGTTACATTCTACTAAACTTTATTGTTTGAGAAGTGGGTGCTTGGCAGTTTATTCCAGAATTCATTTATTTTATTTAAAAATATGCCTAACTCATCTGTGCAGAAAGTTTTACATCATATAGATTTAATCTGTGTGACTTCTATTGCTTCTGCAGCTCACATTTGCTATGGTATCTGACTGCTATCAGAAGATCTTTGTACAATGAATGTACAAAGTGCCAAAAATGAACATGAGATTCTTGAAGCACAGGGGAATACCATCCCTCTTCTGAATAGCTGCTCAGTTTAAATATTTTCTTAATTTGGAATTTGCTGGGAGTTTGGTACCTGAGTGCCTTCTCAAATCTTGTTCATGGGGCCTAGAATGTTCTTGGTGCTGTGTGAAATATTTTTGGTTCCAACTTTTATTTCTGTCAGAACATGCTGGTATATGTTAAGCGTATGGGATGACATAGGTTACAATTAAATGGAAGTGTTTGTAGCCAAAAATGTAAGAGAAATCTAATTAATAAAACAATTATTTTCTTTTATTTCTGTTCTGATATTTTTGGAGTCAGAGCAAATGGTTATGGAAGACAAATACACCTTGAACCAATTTCAAAGAGACAAAACAAAGGTTAAAAAGCCAAGAAGGAAAATCAAAAATCTTGTGGAGAAAAAATATCACACCTTTTATAATGATATTTTTCTTAATGTTCTCCTCATTCTTTCTTCACAGAAATACAGTTTTCCATGCCAATACAGTGTACTGATAAAACTGATGAACAAGCAGAAGAGCTTTTTAAGCCTCGGGTTATGCAGGATATAAATAGAGGTGCATCATGCATCACATCTATCACACCAAGAGGAGTGGGCCAAGATGAGGACAACAACTCTGTAGAATCGCTTTCTAAATTTAATGTCAAGTTTCCACCTACAGACAATGACTCTGCTTTCTTGCAGAGCACTCAGGAAAAAGTAACAGTTCCTTGCTCTGGTATAGCTGAAAACATGCTTCAAGATCATCATTTTAACCGGGAGCACAGAGACCGTGCTGTTAACCTCAGTAAATTGGAACCTAACTCATTTGAAGCTCATGGAGTTGATCTCGTGACCTCAGCTTTACAAAGCTTAACTACTGTTGACAAAACAAACCCTCCAAATCATGCAAACACGCCCATAGAAAATACTCGTGACAAAACATGCTTGAAAACAGCAGACACTGCTTTCACGTTTATATCTAAGCACGCAAGCCAAGGTGCGCCTGAAGTGATTTTTCCTTCTTTTGAAGCTCCTGGAACAACCGTCAGAGGTCCTCATCAGGTATCTTTCTCTAAATACTGTAGACTTTGAAAGAAGGTAATGATGTGATCAACTGTATTGCTAAGGTCTTTGACACTTAACATATTCTCTGAGATATCTCACCAGTCTTCTGTTTAAGAGAATACATTTTGCCAGTTCTTCTCACTGATGCTGAAATACGTGTACAAGGCGCTTTTCCAGGGAAATAGGACAAGACTTTAAATAAATATCACCCAAATTTCAGTTTGTGTAGATATTAACTGCTTCTATATTTGTTTCAAAGCTTTCATTAATCCTAAGCTGTCACCTAGATCACTTTCTTTCTTTCTACTCTTTATCTTAGATGAATAGGACATGTAATTGTTTTAATTGTTTCAGGTGTACATCAGAGAGTATGAAGAATTAATTAGAAAACTAAACATAAACGTACACTGTGGAAAAATGATCTACTTTTTATCTTTATCTGAGTTATAAACAGAACCCTATTCCTACTGTCCAGAACAAAAATATGTTTGTCATAGTTTAAGCAGTCAAGTAGGAAAGCGTAATTATTTCTTTTGACAAATGTATGGAAGTACACTAAAATAATTCACGTTTCCGTAGGTATTTTGAGCTTGAATTTAAGTCCTTACTACTCAAAGTCCAGGGAAGTTCCTAAAAGCAAGGCCCAATTACTGTAAGGCAGAATAACGGTTTGGCAGCTTCTATCAGTTGTGTCTCTGAATATTTCGCTTTCTTTGTGTAGCATTCTGTCTCGACTGAAATTGCTCATGTATTTATTGCAGACCTTTATAGACTCCAATTGATTTATTTATTTATTGTATTTCTGAGGCTTTTCTCAGACCTCGTGAAAGGAGAGCTTCTCAAAACTACACAAATAGTGATGTTTAGGAATTTGGAGAGGGTGGATTTTGAATATTTTCACCATTTACTTTGACACAATTTTGTGTTTTTTCCTAATGACATGCAGCAAAAGAGCTTTACCTCCTAGTTATGATGATTTCCTCTGCTAAAACTTACCCAGACTAAGTTCAGTTTTCCATTGCAAATCAGTTTTGAGTGAAAGTTTAAAATACAGAAAGTTTACTGTTTCTGTTATTTTGAACTGTATGCCTGAGTTTTTAAATATGTTTTAAATACCTGTCTGTAGCATAGGGGGTCTCAATTACACTAACTTACTAATTTTAGTTTTTTATTGTGCTTTATTTTTCATTGGATCTTCTGTTAAAGCTGTGCCTGAGTTAAACAAATTAATTCACTTATTTTGTTACTAGTAGAATTCCTGCAGAGCTGTGAAGCATTCGCTCCATTCCTTGTTACTCTTCTCTTTATCTGTATTTTCTCTCCAGCGTGTTCTTTTACTAGTTAGTCTGTGTATTCATTTTTCAATAGATGGCACCCTGCATTGTATATTACAGCCAGTGAAACAGCTGGTATGTGATTATAAATTGATAGGGTAGTATGCAGCTTCAAAAAGTGGAGAAAAATTGTGGTTGAATAGCAGTAAGGCTTTGGTTCGATCATTGGTATCTCTGCAATAAAGAAATTAATTTGGGACCACCACTTAAAATGTAAATTATTTGCTTTGTGGAAAAAATATAATAAGTGCAACTTTTGGAGGGAAAAAGGCAATGAGAAACTATTTCAGTGTTAATAAGTCATATCTACATAGCACTATAGAACATACAGGATATAGATCAGAATGCATCTTATCCAAAAGTTTGTTTGAACTAAGCCAGTAATACTTTAGAATTTATTAAATATACATCTATCTCTCTCTCAACATCCATCAACTTTAATTAGCTGCCTACAAAACAGTTTTTAATGTACTTTTCCTAGTGAATGGGACTCGGTTCCAATTCCTAGTGAATTGGGTTTATAGATAATATGTATGTAGATTAAAACACTAGGTTCCTTTTAATGTTACTTGCATACATGTCTATTTATTGTACTAAATTAAAACAACAACAACTGTGAATAATATTTGTTCCTGGGATTTTTATGACTTTTTTAGGGAGTAGTTCCAGTGACATCATCCCTACCGCTGGTAAAGCTCCAGTGGGGAAGAATGAGATACCTGACTATTTTTTTCCTAGTGTAGATAAAACTTTCAAGTATTTACTACATATGTTAACTTATAAAATGGAAAACCCCATAAATGCAGTAGATTTGGCAACAGTAAGTTCTTGGAACTGCTCTCAGTTGCTGTAATAAATTTAGCTCTTTCCTTCTTTGTGGATACTAAATGTGAAAACTCAGTACTGTTTTCTTTGGATGTAACTTAAAAAAAAAAAAAAAAAAGAGTGACTGAAAAGAGCAGCAGATTAAAATAAGCATGGCTATTAGTGGACCTAGGATTTTACAGACTACTGTTAATTGAGACTTGCACAGAGATGCATTATGTTTACCAGTATTCACAATTTGCGGGGGTTGTTTCAGCCAAAAACATTTCTGAGAATGTTCATGATTACAAATCAAGTCAGTAGTCTATTGATCTTAATCTAGATGTTGTTTTAAAAATGAAACATCTGCTTAAATAAATCTCTGTACTGAAAAACATTTTAAGCACATGCTGAACACTCGGAGAAAGAAACTAAAGTTAAGTGCTTGTTTCAGCATTTTGCTGGATGAGTATTTTTCTTTCTATGTCGTGGTTCTAAGACTGGAAATCTTATTGTGTCCTTAGTGGATTTTTACAATAGTATATATTTTTAAATGGCAACTTACATGATTTGGTATTAAAAACAAGTAATTCTAAACACCTTCCTGGAAGGATGTTTGACTGTGTCTGTGTCTAGAAAATTTAATATGCAATTTACACCAGCAATGTACAGTAAGTAGGCTCTTTTAGCTGAAAAGAAGTGGTGTGATTGCACTTAATTACTAATTAGCCAATTTAATTATATGGATTGCTGACCATAATGAAAGATGGTAAATCTGCTACCGCTGTCTGATAAGCTAAACACTGTTTAAATATGGAGAGCACAAGGACTTGACTCCAGGAAGTTGCAGCTGGTTTAAACACAGGGATCAACTACTGTGAAAGCCACATTCATTGTACAGTGAATTACCAGAGCGGGG